GCTCGAGACCAATTTTTCCGACTAATCACCTACATACCATCGCTTGCGAACACCACACGCCACGATAAAGCCTTTCAAGCGCTTTATTTGGTCATCGTTACTTTCCGTCTGTTTGTGGTTGAGCGTCGTTAGGTTTAAGCAATATTAAATACCTTTTTGTCATCCTTTGCTTTTGACTTTGTGTCCTTCTCCTTCTTAGAAATATTCTTGACCTTTTCCTGTCCAAGTATCCTGTAAGTGATCGACAATCTAGTTAGCACAACATACCTTCTCTTTACCTTTACCCTTTGGCTTGCTTGCTTTATTCTTGACCGGCGATCCATCTTCCAATACGGACAAATCGGAGTCGTCCATCTACTAACATTTATAAATCATGTACACGGTATGATTATGACATACCTCAGCCACGGCTGCCGCTGGTATGCCTTTCGACGTCTGTCCAAGGTCCTTATTGGAGTGAAGGGTGACATTAGGATATACCATTAAATCTACTATATTTCTTACCTCTGGAGATTCCGGTGGGACGTTAGGGCCCTCTGTGTCGCTTTCTGATGCAGCTGGTAGATTTTTCTTGCCTTTGGTCGGTTTTCTCCCCAGTTTTGGAGACTTATCCCCTACATCCGAGTCACTATCAATAACTTGACGCTTCTGAACCGTCTTTGATTCTTCTTTCTTGACTTTCTTCCTAGGGCTGGGACTTCGCTCCCCCTTTGCAGACTCAGGTTTGCGTTTCTTTGTGTTGCGCTCGACACGAGGTTCATCGACTATATCATCTTGAGTAGTTGACATTATCTAAAGAACATGTTAAAAGGCCCTTGCAGAGGTCGCCTGTACACACTTCTAACGCGATATTGGTGGCCGTTTCTTTTAATTGAGATTTGAAGTCTGAGTCTTGCATTTCCACCTCATTGAATAATTTCTTTTCCTTGACAAGTCGTTTCACGTCTGCCCAAGTTGGGCTAATAGATCGTTAGACCGACGCGTCGTAAAGTGAAGAAACTTAATCGCTCACGCGTCTTCGCCATTCTTTTTCTTGGTGAGAACTTCTTCGCGAAATACTCGCTCGAATTTTTTGAGGTTTGCCATGATTCTGCAGGTTGTCAGGTTTTATGGGCGTGTTTCGCCACCTCGCACCATGTCAGGAATGCGTGATCAAACACTGAATTATCCATGCAAAAATCTACATTCTTCTAGTTGTTTTACAAGTCGATCAGAAGCTACAATGTTAATGCACAATTTCTACAACCAGGTCTCCTTGATTGAGCGAATCTCCTTCGTGGACCACAACGCGCTTGACGTGACCAGAGACGGGTGCAGAAACTGCACTCTCCATCTGGGAAATTGGTTAGTACGCTATCGAAACAGTATATACGATGGATATCTACCTTCATCGCGCTCTGGATACAGAGAATGTCGCCTTTCTTCACTTCTTGGCCTTCCTTCACTCGTACTTCGACGACTACACCAGACATTGGGGCACCGACAGATCCTGGGTCAGAGGTCGCCCTTTCGCGTGATACAGTTTCCACAGCGGCTGATCGGTCCTCGACTGGTACTGCGCGTACCTCACCGTTCACTTCGAACCAGACGTCACGCGTTCCTTTGCCTTCAGTGACAGAGCCAATAGCCATGAGACGAATGATCAACATCTTTCCCTTTTCGATGGAAATATGCATTTCTTCGCTGATATCAGGCCTGCCAAGGAAATAGCGAGTCGGGATCACACTAGAGACAACAGATCAGATAACTTGCAATATTCTTCGAATGTTGAACCTACCTCAAGTCACCATATTTCTCCACGAAGCCTTGATATTCTTCGAATACTTTGGGATACATGGCATAGGACATGACATCGCAGTCGGTAATATGCTTGCCAAACTTGGCCCTGAGATCTGCTTTGATCTTCTTAAAGTCCATAGGAGGTAGAGAGGCACCCGGTCTTCCGTCGATTCTTGGTTTGTTGCGGATGATGTGCGTTCGGAGAGGCTCTGGGAATCCACCATATGGTTGACCTAGGTAACCTTGGAAGAATTCGACAACAGAGGAAGGGAAATCGAGGTGCTCTGCTTGCTCTTTGACTTGCTCCGCCGACAAGCCATTCGAGGTCATCCACTGTGCAAAGTCACCGACGACTTTGGAGGATGGGGTGACCTTGATGATGTCTCCACACTAGGTTCAATCAGTACATGAAGTAGAGGATGAAATATCAATGTCTTCACTTACCAGCTGGTTGGCTTCAATGTATTTCTTCTTGATCTCAGACCATTGGGTTCCTAGGCCCAGCTGTGATGCTTGGAACTGCAGAAAGAATGAGCTTATACCCAAGGGGGATATGGTATATTTACCATCAAGTTGGTATATTGACCGCCGGGCATCTCGTGGTCGAAGACACTAGAGTCCGAGGCGCGAACATTGGCTTCGAAGCAGCTGTAGAGTTGCCTGACTTGGCTCCAGTAGAGGTTGAGAGCTTGAATATCTGCATAGCGGATACCAGTTCCGAGAGTAGTCTGTTCCAAGGCCATGCAAACTGCACCCATTGAAGGCTGCGATGTAAGTCCAGACATGCCTACGGGTCGTGTAAGATTAGACTCATTGTTGTGGAAGGTTACTTACTGTCGATAGCTACATCCACCACATCAGCTCCTGCTACAGCCGCCGCGATCATTGTCGCTGCGGCAATACCGGCGGTATCATGGGAGTGAACATGAATCGGAAGATCTGGGTACTTCTTGCGAATAGCACCGATCAACCTTCAAATAGCGTGAGTAAGATGTCTTGTGTAAAACAAGCGGCCTACAGAGTCGCAGCCATTGGTTTCAAGAGACCCGCCATATCCTTGATACCGAGAACATGAATGCCTTCCGCCACCAGCTCATCGACAAAGTTCATATAGTAGTCCAGCGTATATTTGGTCTTCTTAGAATCTGCTACGTCACCGCTGTAACAGACGACAGCCTCACAAACACCTCCCGCCTTCTTTGCCGCATCGATACCCAGTTTCATCTACAAGAGCGTGAGTAGGGCCCCCCAGCTTTCACAATATATCCTACGTTTTCTAGTTTTGGTCAGCAATAGCTACTTATGAAAGATAATAAGCTTACCAATATAGTTCAGGGAATCGAAGACTCGGAAGATATCCAAACCTATCGAAAGTCAGCATAAGAAGATCACACCATGGTGGTCTCACCATTCTCTACAGCCTTTTTGCAGAAGTCATAGATGGTGTTGTCGCTGTGCAGGGTTAATCTACAGTAAGATGCTGACAGGCACCACTTACGGGTAGCTTGTATAACCGACAGCATTGGCACCACGAACGAGAGCCTGGAATGGAATATTCGGGACGAGCTTTCTGAGAGTCCTCTACAAGAAACGGTTCAGTTCGGGTAAAGGATCAGAAGTATAGGGCGTACCAGGCGTTCCCAAGGATCTTCATACAAGAATCTCATTGCAACGTCAAAGGTCGCACCACCCCAGCATTCAAGCGAGTAAGCATTCGCCAAAGCATAGCTAGTCTCCCTCGCGATATTGACCATATCGATCGTGCGCAGCCTGGTCGCAAGTAGGGACTGGTGTGCATCACGCCATGTCGTGTCCATAATGAGGGTACCTGGATATTGTCGGACAGCTTGGGCGAATGCTTCGGGACCTTGCTTGACGATGATGTTACGCCAACCAACTTCGCATGGCTGGCTGCAGTCGAGTGGTGGTCCATTGTCGGGATCGTTGCGGTCCTGGAGTTGTGGAACGACGATGTCGATCTTGAGACCTGGCTCGCCCTACAAGAGTCGTAAAGTTAGATATCACGATCACAATCAGTTCAGGGGACTATTTGCCATTTGACCCTTGATAGAACTTCCATTCACGGCAAGATCACCGAGATATGCTAGCAGTTTCTGGGCGCGGTTCTGAGTCTGGACCAACTTGAAGAGATCTGGAGTGTCGTCGATGAACTGAATGAAGGAGTTAGAGTGATATACAGAGTGAATCTCTTTGCACTCACTGTAGTCCATGTCTTTCCACCGATGAACACGTCGTGGGTCAAGAGTCTGAACAAGAATGGGATGTTGGTCTAGAACGAAAATTAGAGTTTGAATATATCCCAACTTTAAGACCATACCTTAACACCTCGAATCCTAAACTCTACCAAAGCTCGAAGCATTTTTCTGCGTGCCACCTCGTATGTCGTGCCAGAAACAGTGACCTTGACGAGCAAGCTGTCATAGTGGGGCTAGAAGTATATGTTATGAGTGCGATTCATGCAGAGGTGGTTGAACGTACTGTGATTTGGGCACCTGCGAATCCAGAGCTGGCATCCAAACGAACACCATTTCCACCAGCGCTACGATAGACCTCAATTTTACCCGTATCCGGTTGGAAGCTGGCAGCAGCATTTTCTGTCGTCACTCGGCATTGGATCGCAAAGCCACGTTTGGTAATGTTCTCCTGGGTGAGTCCAAGTTGAGGTAGAGTGGCACCAGCGGCAATTTGGATCTGAGCAGCGACGATATCAATACCCGTAATTTCCTCTGAAGAAAAAAAAAAGACAATTTTAGTCCTCGTCAATCGAATGAAACAAAAAAAACATACCTGTAATGGTGTGTTCGACTTGAATACGGGGATTGATTTCGATGAAATAGTGGCGACCCATTTGATCGACAAGGAATTCTGCAGTACCGGCATTACGATATTGGACACTTTCAGCGAGCTTTAGTGCATCCGCAAGAATGGCTTGTCGGACGTCATCGGGAAGATGCGTGGCTGGTGCGACTTCGACGACCTTTTGGTGTCTCCTCTGGACGGAACAATCACGCTCAAAGAGATGCACATAGTTGCCCTGACCATCAGCAAGAATCTGGACTTCAATATGTCTCGGTCGGTCGAGGAAGCGTTCGATAAAGACGGTGCCATCTCCAAATGCCGATTTTGCCTCACTCGTAGCCCTAGAAAACGCGTCCTGGAAATCACCTTGTTCTCTGACGACACGCATACCCCTGCCACCGCCACCCATGGCTGCTTTGATAATGACCGGGAAGCCATGTTCTTCAATAAACGAAGCGGCCTCCTGATAAGAAGCCACGGGTCCAGGAGTGCCGGGTACGACAGGTACACCGACTTTCATAGCGATCGTGCGGGCTTTTGTCTTGTCTCCCAGGGCATCGATAACTTCCGGAGACGGTCCGACGAAGGCAAGGCCGGCCTGTTCGACTTTTCTGGCGAATTCAGCGTTTTCAGATAAGAAGCCATATCCCGGGTGAATCATGTCCACGCCGTGCTCGAGTGCGATCGAGATGATGTTATCTTGAGCGAGATAGGCTGCCACTGGAGTAAGTCCTTTGCCGACCTGGTACGCTTCATCTGCCTGGAGAGAGAAGATATCAGTGTGAGTGCGATAGAGAGAAATACGAGAGCATACCTTTTGTCTGTGAGCAGACATCCTATCCTCGTAGGAATAGATGGCGACGGTGTGCATAGCTAGCTCGTGAGCGGTACGGAAGACTCGTATCGCGATTTCCTATCAACGTTGTGGCAAGATCGTCAGCCAAAGGACACAGCTCAAAACCAGGACTGTAGGTATACTCACCCCTCGATTCGCGACGAGAATCTTTGTGAGTGGGCCATGATGACCCGCTGCCTTTCTGCGGATGGTGGAGATGGAGTGTACGGGAGTTCCCGGGGCTGAGGGAGTCCCAGGAGCAAACTGGGCGGCCAGTCGTGGTGGAAAGAGACTCATAGCAATAATCTACGCCGTGGTTAGAGTGTGGAGATGGTCGAGAGGAGAGGGGTAGATATGGCCTATTTACGCCCAGAGGAGTCGAATCTTATAGGTGAGCGTGTACCGTCTCCCTTGAGACTGGACACGATTCTGGAAATCAAAAGCACGTCCAAACGTTCATCAAATCATTTCTATATGTATCTATGGTCCACAGAAACCACATGGAAGGGAGCAATCGCACATGATCACAAGTGATCACTACCAAAAAACACACCGCCATCATCTTCGATTCGTCATGGGTATTACCGTCTCTCCGTTCCGTGCTCGTTCTGCCTTGGCTTGGTTGTTTTTCGCCACAGCGTACACGATTCCCGCAAAGAAGCCCAACAGCACGGCGGTCACCGAGCCGAAGTTGACCGGATCTCCAAAAAAGACCATCCCGGACGCGGCCACGGGAAGCTTATTCAGTGCGCCAACCATACTACCCGAAAATGTCAGAAAAAAAAAGTAGGCAAAGAGTTAGAATAGTCACTCTGACCTGTAGGTAGTACTGGTGGTCACTCGCATGCACCAGGCTGTTGAATACGAGATCCAAACTGCAGCTGCTCCGGAGAATGCCATGGCCGTCAGCAAAACCGTCCGTCCGTCAACGGGGCTAAAGATAGGCTAAGCGACCATGCCGCGCATCGATAAAGAGATCTTACAAGTTCCTTTCAAGGTTGGCCCCCGACCAATCCTCGATGAGGAAGGTAAAGATTGCGAGCAATGGAATCGGCAAGAGATTATTGTAGAACATGGTGTCCCAGTCCTTGAAGCCTAATTGTTTGATTTTCTTTCGCATCGTCAAAAGCTGTTCCACATAGTCAATAATCGTATATACGACATTCAGTCACGAGACTTACATAACCAGCAGAAGCGAAGCAGTTGAGGATCATCCAGAAATAGCCAACAGAGTCGGTAAGGATACTGGACACATTCTTGGCATCGGAAACGACTGCTGAATCCGCTGATCCAAAGGTCGTCGCAAAGATACCCGCTAAGTCACCCCAGGATGCGACTCCAGACGAGATGACCATGAGGATGAACGAAATAAGCATCAGCCCAGTGACACGGCCGTTGAACCAGATTACTTCTCCGTAGGCCTATGAGATATTAGTTGAGAGAACTATGTACGCGTCAAAAGACCCACAATTAGGATGATGGTAAGATTTTTGAATATAGTATAGATGGGTATGTTAAGGTATTGCTAGGGGGTCGTCAGGCAATTGGCATATTCGCGGGCTCAAGCACTCACCAAACTCTTTGATCCGGTATATATAACAGCTACAAGAAAACTACTGATCGGGAACCACTTCTTGGCGGTGTCCATTTCAAAATCTTTGTACGATATGATTCCCATTTGCTTGCAAAGGGCCACACAGCCAACACAAACAGATGATTGGATGAACAAGAGCAAACAAGTCATGTTAAACTTGGCTCCAGATACGACAAACTAGTTTCATTGGCAAACAGGTGTTAGCAGTGCAATCCTTGTCCGACACCAGTCTGGTCATTTACCTTGTTCACGACGGTCATTAAAATCGAGGAAATGCAATAAGATGCTATGGGCCATACTGGAAATAGCAAGGATTCGAACTAAGTCAGTGACAGCGCATGCACACGAAATTTATAGCACTCACTTGGCGAACTGGACGCCTCATGTGGAGCGGTTTTTCTCGCTTCCACAACATCCTCTTCTTTTAGTGGGACGGCCTTATAATCCCCCCGTTCGTCGATACCGTTCTGGGAGAACGAGCGTTGGACCGGGGACCGTGAGGGTGGGGAAGACGACGAAGCCATTGGGGCAATGAACGAAGAACGGTTAATCCAGAATATTTACGAGCAAAGAGGCCAAGTTCTAGCTCGTACAGCGCCCGGGACGTGCCAGAGAGGCGAAGGAAGAGTCGAAAGAGGAGTGATAGCCAGTTACGCTGGCAAGATGGCATGTCTCTTTCCATTTATGCGACGTGGTCTTTTCTTCAAAACTCCGAAATGCCACCTAATGCTATATCTAAAATGATTTTATTTTATTCAGAATCCTCGTTAAAATGTTCTTTTGGAGGAATATTCCTTGGAGACACTTCGGGGATCGGAATGAACATTCCGCAGTATGGTAGCAAGCTCACACCCTTTATACAGTAGTGGGTGTAGGATCATTGCCCATTTCAAGCGTAATTGATGATGTTATGAGATCGCGATACAATGTGAGTAAACTATCGTGCTGCCCATCATCATATACACTGCAGGTGATAACCGCTTTAACTTCCGACTTTGAGCCCTTTTAAGAGGAGAAACCATTAATTCTGCTACAGTATTGCTTCTGGGATAGCTATCTCTCCATACGAATAGGTAGTCAATTAGGCAAGATAAATATGATTTAGAAGGCCGTGACAGCTGAGAGAACACATGTTCGTGCAAACAACGAAGAAAAAATACCTGTTTGAGACAGCTAACTGAACGGTGTGACCCGTTTGTCACTACTGTAAGATGAGTGGTAATTCTATTCGTGTGATGGCTGGAGGAGAAGCAGGTGGTATTGACCCCTTAACACCAACACCAACCTCGTACTAGTACGACACCTCCAAACATATAGTTTCTGTAATTGGCTAACCAGTTGACTACCGGAGCTTTGGGTACTACTACCAACCTGCGAGGTAAGCCACTCTATCTGCTTCACGATCGGTTCTCACACTTTCTGGCTATAAGTGGACCACCGCTGATATCATTCGAATAGAAATATATATTATGCTTCAAGCTGTTTCCGGTCGCATTTTCGGGCGCAAAGAGCCATCTATTCGAGAATACTTCGTTCCTAAATGGTGGATCTGGTCCAGAGCCAACTCAGCGATACCCGAGAGATTTCCAATCAACAAATCGCCCTCGACCAATATAACTGCCACCGAAGAGGAAGTTGTATATGATCTCGAGCCCATGCGTTACCCCTTCAAAGTACAGTTGATAGATGACCTACCTCTGCGCATGATTGCGCAACTCGAGAAAATTCTTGGAGAAGAGTTGGTTACCCCCCATGTGCGGCATTTTTTGGTTATGTGGAAGTTGATGACCCTTGAGGAAATTGACGGCAAAGGCGACCTTATAATACGAACGACAACTCTCTGGTATTTTGTGACGGAGGCTTTCCGTATCATCCACCCCGATGCCCATATTCAAATCGAAACGTATGGAAGATCCAAGGACCATCGCACGATTATGGATATACGAATCAACTTGAACTCTCAGCCAATTATCTTGACAGCAATCATGGAACCATCAGCTGCCGACGTTTGTGCATCCAACCTGGTCGAGCTGGCGTCAGGGAATAGTACCTCGGTCTTTGAGGGAGATCTACCCGAAAAGTTCGTTGGGCATGAAGCTATCCTTGCAAAGGTAATTTCTATCTAGCTTATCTTGGGGTGCTCATAGAGGCTAACTTGGTTTCGGTATAGTTGAGTTACCAATTTATGGATAACTGGCCTGAAGGACCTCGTTGGGCACTGGTATACGGAGGGAACACATATGTCATATATCTAATGTTGCCTGTCCTGGTGGATGGCATTAGACGATGTGTTTTGATGTCCTCTGGCGTCGGTTATATCGATGATACCAGATGCCCTTTCCCAGCACTTCTACTTTTCATGACACTTACCGCGCAAATGTCTCCCCAAAATCTCGCAAGGACATTGAACATCGAGCAGCCTCTGGGATATACTATCATCTCAGATGAACTGGGAGGAGATAGTCAAGGGGTATCGTCGCTGAGGCAAGGAGTTTTTATTGTATGTGATTTCAACAATTCCATAAAGACGTTAGGACTCACAGGAACCCGCTTGAAGCACCAGCTTTGTGTACTACTCGAGTCGTATACTTGACTACGGACCTTGATCCGTCTGGACGACTTCCTTTCTCTCGTCTACCACTTGATCGACTGCACGACAGCAGCAACGGTCACGACCTTGATGGGAATAGTCCCACTTTCTTACTGCAGCACCTCGCCTCTCGAAATTTTGACATTGTTTATCGATTCAATGAATTCATCGTGAAGACGTATCTACCCAGATGTGAAGGGTATCTCGAAAACGAGGCCAAGGTTTATCAACATTTGGCAGCTACAAGAGCATCCAGTTTCATCCCAACATTTTATGGGCACTTTGCTTATCGTCACATCAAAATCATCATACTCTCTGACGAAGGACCATCCCTAGAGAGTTTTAGAGAACTTTCCTCTAAACTAAGGTATGATGATAGCTTCTGGATTAATACCAACTGACATATTCGTAGAACCGAGATCCTTGAGGCCCTATTAGAGATCCATAAGGCACGCGTGGTTCTCAGAGACTTTGGACCTGACAAGGTTTCTTTGGGAAAACGTGGAGTCATCCTCTCGAATTTCCATTATGCCCAAATTAACCACACTTGCCCCGGGACCTCAAACTGTCCGGAACTTCTATATGCTCAAAAGCTGCTAGAAGTTGACATCAGTGAATCCTAATTGGAGCCGACTCTTCTTCGCTCGTGAGGGTCAAGTTATGTTGGGAAAAATTCGGTATAGTATGTCGACGACCTTATTCTTAACTCTTAACTATATCTTGATAAACACGCACCTGTCCTTACTCCAGTAATCATTTGTCTCCTTTTGAGAAAGAGTATGTTCTGCACATAGATCTAAACGAGTTGATATTTGAGCTAAGACACGAACCTCCAAGACAAGGACGACTTCAATTCCCGACCGGAAGGGAAGGTCTTTCTGGGCCAAATTCGAGGCATTAATTTTTCCGAAGTTTCAAAGTTTCGAGTTTTGTATGATCCGGTTGACTCTTGCGGTAGCCAGCTGCCGCCACCTCTATAGGCGTTGCCTTATTCCATGGCCAATTACCATTCGGCTACTCCCTGCTTTATGACGTAAATAGGCTGCAGCTGCTACAATCAAACTATATTACTCGATTTCAAGGTAGTGCATCCACCAAGAGATATATTATATGGCTAGAAGTGGCCACTTTATTAGACCCAATTGTTACATCAAGCCCCAATGCACCTTACCCACGCAGGATTGTACTCATGCACAGACCTCATGCACATACCATACTCCAAACACTAAAAGTCCCGGGGCAAGTGTGGTTAATTTGGGCATAATGGAAATTCGAGAGGATGA